AATTTTCCCGCTAAGCAGTATGGGGCTGTCTGCCGTAGTCACCTCCTTATTCGGCAGGGTGTGGTCGATTGCGTGAACCGGCATAATCACTCGGTGAGGGTCGGTTATGTCGGGCGAGCGGCGTGACCTGTCAGTAGAGGGCCCGTCTGCTACTGACTCCCAACGTTTCCCTGTTGCTTGGTCTGTTTTTGCTACTCAGCTTCCCCCTTTCCCTTAGCGCTTTTTTAGCATTCGCTCTTGCGGTGTCTCGGTTGATTGCACGTGGAGTAGCGCCCTTTGAACGGTGCGGCAGCGGCATTCGCGGCGACGGCACGTATCGTGGCCCCCTCGTTCGTCCCACGAGATCGATGTCCCCAGTTGTTGTTGCTTCCGTAGGACCCCGGCCTCGGTCGGCGAAAGAAGTCGAGCTTCTCCGCCATGGCGAGAATTTCCTGGAAGTTGGTGATTCCGCGTAGCTGAATTTCTTGGGCGATATTATGCTTCAGGCCGCCGATGTAGCGGTCGATGTGTCTAAATACTGAACGAGAATGAATTCATTGAGCAAAAAGGTGGTACAAGTACTAATCCTGATTGGGTTGTACCCCTTATGGGATATATTCACCAAGGCACTACAGCCTACACAATATAAGCAGTATGACATTTTGACACATCCCCATAGGCAAAATGGGGGAGAACAAGTGGCCACAATACCAGTCAAGAAAACAAAAGCAAGTTCAAGGTGGATCACGAAGTCACCGCACATTCCGAGCACAAGCAAATGGCCACAAGGCCAGGTCACATGCAGAGTTATATAAAGGAGAACAAACAGTACAGTGGTCATACCCTAGCAAGTGTAAGCATGCAGGTTTATATATAGATCACAGTACAAGCAAAGTCACGTAGTGAGCAAGTGAGGCAAAGTAGGCACAAGGCCTAAAAGAGTACAAAAACGCTGATGATGAGCAAGCTGAAGTGCCTTGGTGAATATATCAGCAGTGTTGGCCCGAGTGGCCACGTAAGCAAGACGAAGCTGACCACGCTGCTGCAACTCTCGAGCAAGGAAGTAACGCAGAGCGATGTGCATTGTTCTGTGCTCCAGTCTGTGCTCCTGACACAAGGCAATCATGGCCTTGTTGTCTACGTACAGCACTGGAGAAGAACGAGGCCGCTCTCCCAAGTCGGTCTGCAGGTAGGTGAGCCAGCGTAACTCTTGTGCAGCCATGGCCCCTGCGTAGATCTCAGCCTCACAACTGGAACTGAGAACAGAAGATGAGCAGGTAGACCACCAAGAAACAGAGCCGGAGCCAACGCTGAAAGTGTAACCCCGTGACGACCGCTGTGTAGCCAAGTCGTCAACCCAAGAAGCGTCTGCGTGTCCAGTGAGGACAACTAGACCCCGTCCTCCAAGCACGAGCCCCATGCCCGATGTACTGCACAAGTAGCGCAACACCCTCTTAGCGGCCTCCCAGTGCTCTGTTCGGTGTCTCCCGGGCGCAACGTAGCGTGCCAGGATGCTAAGAGGGTAGGCACGGTCAGGTCGATTGCATGTCATGAGGTACATGAGGCAGCCCACAAGCTCTGACGCGCCGCGATCGAAGCCGCAAGTGGCTCAAATCGAGCATGCAGACCCGCGCACCACGCGTCCCACGTGCGATATTGGGGCACCTCTACGAAATACGACGGCTCCCAGGGTCCGGTTTGTCCTTCCTGTGTCGGTAGAGTCGCGACGATAACGCGCCACCAGTCCATGGCAGGTCATCGCAGCAGCGACACGGCGTAGCGAATCTTCGCCGTATCTTGCGAGACGTAGTTGGCGTCAAAAAATACGTTCAACGTGAACAACCACGCCTGAACGGTAGGACCACCCCGTTGACTCGGGTCAAAGCATGGCGGAGGCTGCGGCTTCAGCGGCATCGGTGACGGCAGAGCCGAATCATTGGTCGGTGCCGAAATCGTGACGCAAGGCTGGCTCCTGGCCGCATTCGTCGCTTCGGGGTGTGTCGTGCAGTGGTCGCCGTCTCTGTCGTGGCGGACGATGCCATCACTGGTCGCGCTCGCGGGTTGCTCCACACTTACGTGCTGCGATGCCTGTGGTGCAGGTTGTCCCGGAGTGCCAGGTGCTTGTGATTGTGCTTGCTGTGCTCGTGCGACGTCATTTTGCAGGGACGTGCGTTCGGCCGTCAGTGCCGCGATTTCTTCAGAGCTTTTGTGGAGTTGTCGCAACAGCTCGTTCAAACGATCTTGCGTGAGCGTCGTGACGTCGATATGTTCAGCCATAACGAAGGGCGTCGGCTCAGCTTAGTATAGGCGCAGTCGTGGCTGCACGCGTTTACGAGATAACGCAAGCTTCTAGGTGCTAAGGGGCGTGAGTCTCTTCGACTGAAAAAACAAAAGTTGATTTCCTGGGGTGCGGAGAGGTGCGGTCCGAGAGAAAGTGGCTCTGATAACCAAGTGTTACGGGTGCAATGAATCGAGGTAGCGAGGATTGCACTAGAGTGTTCAATGGGTACAAAGTATGAGCGAATACTTATACGCAAAAATGTGCAAACGGTAACGCGATGCGTGCGAGCTAGCTAGTGCCACGCTGGCGCGAGGTTCGGGCTAGTCCTGAAGCGTAGGCTGACTCGGCTGCTCCAGCAGTACGAGGTTTGGCGAAATAGTGCGCGCGAAGTTGACGGAGCCCCGTTAGTAGTAACGGGCGAACAACGGCTGCTGCTGTACGCGATGTGGACGGCCGTGGTAAGGAATAGCGAGAAAATTCCTTACAGTTAATAAGAAGTTTATGTTATTATAGAGTTGTCAAGATAGTGGCACAAGTGGTAGTTAGGTTTAAGTGAGGGCCTAGGCTTAGTAGCCTAGGCCAAGGGAGTCGAGGTAGTTTGTGCCAAGGAGGGAGAGTCGAGAATGAGAAAAGGATGATGTTCACTATAGCACTGGGGTACATATAGCAGACAAAGAATGCAAAGAAGGTGCACCACCAACAAGTTTATAATAACTACACTAACCACAGCTACAGGAAGTTACAGATATATTCTAACAAAAGTATGATTTAATCATAAATAGTCTTGAGCTTATAATGCAGTCATATGATTGTCGCATACGCTCAAGCGCTGAGGAGGGCATGCATGGTCAGAAATTTGTTTTTTCCTGAATTCTCACCTGGAAATTAGTTGCAACTCATGGGGAGCTCGTAGTATAACCAGAGTTTCGTTTATCGGAGCAGATAACTCTATCCACAAACACCAGGCTGGTCGGCCAAACAATGGGTGAGATGACCCGTACCACAGGTTCGGAGACAGATTTGAGAGTGTTCAGGCTCGGAAATTAGTCCTGGAGAAATTCAGCTCCACCCACTCGAGGCACGAGTGAAGCAGCCATTTGCAGCACCTCTCTCAGAGGAGAATCACAAGAGTTCCACCTTGGGGCGAGGTACGATGTTGTGCACTCTTGGGGTTTTGTTTCGCCCCACCTCTCCGCGGCTCACCAGCTTGAATACTCGCATACGAATTGCCACCAAACTCTCCTGAACGCGGCCTCACGATTCACAGTTGTCCGGCTGATCGATTTTGTGGTTGAGAAACCCTGACTTTCGGGTGCAGCAGAGGTGCATTGGGAAAATATGTCACAAGTAACCAAAATGGGACTAGTTAACGTGAATGATAAAAATGTAATGCGTACTGTCACTGTATCGGGTTTGCTGATGGGTTTGGTAAGTGGGGTCACGGATTCAGTCACTAACAACAGGTGAAAAATCACGCGAATGGTCACACATGTAACTCCAGCCAAAATTTCTTGAAACTCTACAAAATTCCCGCTCGCGCTCAACTAATCAGCTAATTTCTAAGAATACTAAAACCCCATCGGAATCGGATTCGGTTTGGGAACGGATCAACCCTAAACACCTGGCGAGTTGTGTTTAGGGTTGTTTCATCCGAAAATGCATCCAGGTTCGTTTAGGGTTATTTTTCGCGAAAAAAACGTTTCATCTGTGACCATTCGCGTTATTTTTCCAATTGATTGTGACTGATTCTGTAGAACGTTTTTTCAAACACGTAAAACACCCTTTGCAGTGACCGTACCCGTGTTTTTACCAAACATATTATCGAGACCCTTGTTGATTACGAGTGGCATATTTTCCCAAGGTGCATTCCAGGGTTTGGCTTGATTTGGATGGCAAATGTTTATGTGCCTAAAAATCCCTGTCATCATTGTACAATCCCCAGTTCGCGATGTCGTGCTCTTTTTCGTACAGTATGTCACTTCACATGGTGCATGTCTACACTGCAAGTTTACGCGGGCCGATGTCAGGTGTCGCGGGCACTTGGTACACTACTCCCTGATGTCAGGAGTCAAGTCCCCCAAATCTTCTTGAACCAGCCAACCATGTTCCACAACAATCAAAAGGCGGCCAGGAATCAGGGCTCGAACGAACCGCGCCTTATTCGAGCCACCCATCGGGCTTCCCGCAAATTACCGAGCATCGAGTCCAGGTTCGTGGGGTACCTCCCTACCAAGCCGGAACGAGTCGGCTCGTGGTACTTCCAACCAATAAGACAGTTTCAAGGGATTTCCAAGCCATCAACGGCGGAATCTAACCCTCAACGGCTCCTTTTGGGGTCCCCAACACCGTCGAACCTGACCAAAACCTCTTGCACTGCAACAGGTTGCTCCCCCTTGCCTGATGCCAGTCTTACCTTCCACATGCCTCCTTGCCTAATCCACCTATCATTCCCCTCCAGCTGCTCTGGCTTTCAGTCCCCAAAAGCTCCTAGACATTTGTGACAGACCATGGCTGGCTAACATTAGACTCATCTGCCTCTCAGTTCCCTAAGCAACGGTTTCGGAGCTCTTATCAGACCCAAGCGGCACTCCGAAAAGTTAGCTACCTAATCAGCACGTAGAGATACGAACCTTAGTTTTTCCTAGAGCGTGGAGCTTTTCTGCATTAGTCGCCACGCGGGTGGTTTAGCGAAACCGTAATTATAGGGCGTCTAAGTGCTGGTTCAGGGCCATCACCAGGGATGGCCCTGGATTGGCTCAAGACTTCTCTTCCTTGGGTAGATAAAAACGATTCTGACGATCACAAATTTGTAAGTGCATACTTCAATCAATAAGTTGGTCTACCCTACTGTGTTGTTGGCATACGCTAGTTGGTTATGGGTTGTGGCAGTGAGGAGTTGCCCTTGTTACCGTTGAAGCCAGTGATGACATAATTACTAGAATTCCGTCTGTCGTGCTGTTCTGCATGCGCCATCCCTTCCATCCGTCCACCTACTGTTGTCGTTCTCCTGTGGCTCATTGTAGTATAGTTCAGACGAAAGCCTTAAGTCTTCGTTGATGAATTCTTGCGTCAATTCTTAACTGCCAATATCTGAATTGTATTTATCACTGGTAGCCGCATCCTGTCCCGCATGCGATGCTGCGCCTGATGACGCCTCGTTGAGCTGTCGAACTCAACTTGTCCCGTTCCCAGTTTCCCCTTTCTGGGCGTCTAAGCCCCTTGAACTGATTTTGTTCATTAACTACTCACCATGCGTGCATGATCGCAGGCTGGGCAGGCGATCCGATCTCCAGGTTCTGCCTCGCGAGAAACGGGGTTTACGAACCAGCCCTTTTCAACGATTTTGACACAAGGAGGAGACGGTTTTGACCTAACCCTCCCTGTCGCGCGGTTGACGGGGAGGCTCGGTCCCCCTTCTCCACGGCCCGCTTCACCCCCGATAGTGCCACGCTCGTTATCATCTCCCTCGCTATTAGCCTCGAGCAGTCCATTGAAGGTTTCGCCGTCTTCCGCTACCAGTGAGTCGGCGTTAAATCCCACTGGAGTAGCGAACGTCACCCCAGCAGTTCAACAAGCAGCAGCAGGCTCGGCAACAGGCTCGGCAGCTGCGAGGCCGAAAACGGCTGGTTCGGGAAGAGCGATGGCGTCGCCGCCAGGGACACCCCCGAGCACGTGGAGGGTTCGATCGCGTGAACGAATGGCGGTTAGAAAAGCTAAAGGGCTGATCGGAGCCGCTCATGAGAGCCCCGAGTGGCTGATGGATCTGGGCCGTCGGATGAACATCCCATTCGAGTAAGCGGGGTTAGCTAGACGTGCATTGGTTTGGGTATTGCACGTCGGCACCGCAGTGTTTGGGTTTAGAACGCCCATGATGACAATCGTTTTCAGAGCGGTAAGTCTGGTAACGGCTGGTGGGTTATTATCAATGAAGGCTGCCTTTCCTTCCTCGCGTGTGGTCCCACATAACACCCTCCCCTCCCTCCCTGATCTTAAACTACCCTCCGTCCTCGTGCCCCGACCTCCATACCCAACCCGCACCCCCCCTTCCCCCCCCCCCCTCGTCGGATCCCGCCTCTCCTCCCTCTCCCCTCCCCGTTTCTCGTCCTCACTTAACACTTGTTATTCCCTCATCTGCCTTTCTTCTCTCGTTGCAGTCTACTGGCAGTATTTTCGGACAAGTGTCAGCTACCCACTCCCCGGCACCCCTCCGCGTCTTCCACGGACCCTCGCTCCGCGCCGACGCCCGAGTGCGTGCAAGCGGCGCACCTAATCAACCACACCGTGGAGACCCGCCTCTCGTCCTCCTCCTCGACTGCAGCGGCGGAAGTGGCGGCAATGGCGGAGCGTGGCGCCTCTGCAGCCGCGGCTGCATCCGGTGGCACGAGCGCTCCTGCTCCTGCTGCTTTTGCCGGTGCTGATCCTCCAGTTGCGGCGTCAAGAGGCGTAGGTGTGACTGTGCTAGGAAGTGCTACAACAGGGGCCGCCGCAGGAGGAGGAGGAGCTAACGGGGGAGGAGTCGTGGCTTTATCTAGCTCTACGAAGGAACAGCAGCCCGTTGCTGCCACTGCGGCCAGGACCTATAACCCCGATAGTCGCTCTCCCGCTATTAGAGCAGCCCCGGTCCCAAGGCCCGCGGCTAGGGCACCAGCGCCAGCGCCAGCACCCGCTGCGACTGAGAGATGGGGATGGGGAAAGAGCAGCAGCAGTAGCAGCAGGGGGTTGTGGGGCAGGATAAATAAGGGAGCGGGCAAGAAAGACGCGAAGAAGAAGGTGCAGAAACTGCCAGAGGCAAGCAGGGCGGAGCGAAACTCGATCATGGACGGAACCCTAGTCCCGGCCAGTCGCGCGGTCAACCCGCCCATGTCCCGCAATCCCATGTTCGAGCCCGTAGGCGCGTCTAAGAGGCGCGCGGCGAGGCAGCCGGGGCTGCGCGTGCCGATGTGCATCAAGACGGTGAAGGTGCAGATCGGGGATACGCTGGCGGAGATTGCCCAGAACCACCGCACGTCGATTCGGGACCTGCAGAGGTTGAACAATCTTCGGTCGGATTTTATTGTTGAGGGCGACACGCTCATCGTCTCGTGCTGTGAGTGTTGCATTGGGAGGGGAAACGGGGGGAGGGAGGAGGTTGAGCTGCGCGGGGGAAGACGAGGGAAGGGAGGAGCGAGGGGGGTCTACGGTGACAGGCATGTAAACTACAGTGTTGGGCAGGACAATCCCGTTACAGGGCAAGTATCATTTTGATAGCAGATCCCATCACCATATACCCAGTCCATGTTTCCCTACTGTGTTTATTCCACCCTCAAACAACGCGTTCCTTCATTTTCCCCCTCGCGCCCCCAATTTATGCTCTATTCATCTCAGCCAACCAGCGTCGTTACGTACCAGAGCTCAGGCCTGGCATTCGCCGGACCTGTCGCCCCCTCTTTTCCCCGCTCTCTCCATCATCGACTTTGCCAAAGCTGCCCGCAAGGCTTGGCGTGGGAGGTCCGGCAGCAGGCACCATTGTGAAAGCGGGCTCAGCAGCAGGGGGACGAGTTTCTCTGCTAGAAGGTGTGCCTCGTTAACCACAAGTTGGTGATTATATCATGTAATCTCTTAGCCATGCCTGTCTTACGAGCAGCTTGTCGATCTGCATTGACTGTTTGCTGCCTCACTTGTGTGAATAATCCATGCCAGCAGTGCGTTTCTGTGTTGCTCCACTTGGTCCACGTTTCCACTTTCACCTGCAGTGACATTTTAGTCGTCTTAACTACTTGCAGGCATGCCATGCCATCATCGTTCTTCCGTCTGTGTTTCCTTTTCTGTTCTGTGCCGCCTTCCACATCTCCCTTACCACGTCCTCTTCCCCCATATCCTCCGCCCCATCTCCTCTCCCGCCTCTCCCCACACCCGCAGGGCTGTGGAGGCAGGGCCCCAAGGGCTTCCCCAAGTCGATGGACGGCTGGCGCTGTGCTCTCTCTCTTCCCCCCTCGCTCCCTCCCTCTCGTCTTAATATGTGTTGTCTCCCCACCGCCCCGCGTCCCCTCTCTCTCACCCGCAGGGCGGTGGAGGCGGGGCCCCAAGGGCTTCCCCAAGTCGATGGACGGCTGGCTGCGATTCAACTGCCCTGTCGTGGACGGGTGCGTTCTGGGGACGGGAGAGGGGAAAAAGAGTGGGTGTCGACTGGAGGGAAAGGAGGGGAGGGGGGGGAGAGGGAGGGGAAAGGGGGAGGGGGAAAGAGGAAGGGAGGATTGGGAAGGGGAAGGTGGGAAGGTGACTCTTGAGTCGACTCAGAACTCACCTAGTGGACGGGTCGTTGCAGGAGAGGGGGGAAGGGTGGGGGTGGGGGGAACGGAGTGGGTCGGGGGAAGGGAGGGAGGGGAGGGGGGGAAGTGAGGGGGTGGGGGGAACGGAGTGGGTCGGGGGAAGGGAGGGGATGGGGGGAAGTGAGGGGGTGGGGGGAACGGAGTGGGTCGGGAGAAGGGAGGGGATGGGGGGAAGGGTGGGGATGGGGGGAAGGGAATGGGTGGGGGACAGGAGTGGGTGGGACAGGAGGCAAGGACTGTGGGAATGATTCAAGGCGTGGCACTTGGCTGGGCTTTGTCGGTATTGGTATATTTTGTGGGTATGCCGGTGTTTTTTCCAAAATGTTTGTCCTGCTGTTTCACGTGCTGGCTGGCTTTCCCATTCAACTCTCCCTATCCCACCCACACCCTCCCGTCCCCCTCCTCCTCCCGCCCCCCTCCTCTCCTTTCTCCCGCACCCGGCCCTCTCCCGCGTCACCTCTTCAACCCCTCCACCAGCTTCGTCAGCAGTCCCTTTGGCTGGCGATGGGGATCCTTCCATGAGGTATGCTCCCCCCCCTCCCCCCCCTCCCTCCTCTCTCCTTGCAACGCCTTGCATCTTGAGTCGACATCAGTCCCTCACCATCTTGAGTCGACATCAGTCCCTCACCATCTTGAGTCGACATCAGTCCCTCACCATCTTGAGTCGACATCAGTCCCTCACCATCTTGAGCCTTTTCCTTGACATGGAAGCCACCTCACCAGCTTCATCAGCAGTCCCCCTACCCCCCCTCTCTCCATTCCCATTCCCCCCATCCTCATTTCCGTTCCGTTTAATTTACACCTCCTCCATCCGTTCCCGCTTCTCCTCATTCCCTCGCCTCCTGCTCCTCCTAATCCTCACGTCTTCCGATGTGATGAAAGAGAAAGCACTCGCTCAACTCGCCCTGCTTTCCTACAACCTCTATCTTTGATCCACGCCATTTTCAACTCCTATTCTCAACCCTCACCCTCGTCGCCATCATCCTTAATCCTCTTGCTCGCCGCAGCCCTCATCCTGCTTCGCACTGGCGTTTAATTGTCTTCTTTGTTCACCCGTTCACTCTCTCCTCCCTTTCTCCCTCCCTCCCTCCCTCCCTCCCTCCCTCCCTCCCTCCCTCCCTCCCTCCCTCCCTCCCTCCCTCCCTCCCTCCCTCCCTCCCTCCCTCCCTCACTCGCTCCCTCACTCACTCCTTCCTTCTCCCTCTCCATATCTCCCTCCCTCTTTCCCCACAGGGCGTGGATCTAGCAGCGGAGTTTGGGGCGCCAGTGCTGGCGTCAGACAAGGGCGTCGTGACGTTTGCAGGCTGGAGCGGAGGGTGAGTCCGCGCTTTTGTGTGTCTGTGTGTGTGTGTGTGTGTGTGTGGGTGGGTGTGCGTGGGTGGGTGTGCGGGGGTGTGTGTGTGTGTGTGGTGGGTGTGTGTGTGTGTGTGTGTGGGTGTGGTTGTGTGTGCGTGTGTATGTGTGTGTATGGATGTGAGTGGGTGTGAGTGTTGGTGTGGGTGAGTGTGGGTGTGGAATGGGGTGTGGGTGTGTGAGGCATTGCCATCATAACTCTCCTCCTCACCTCCCCTTCCTTTTGCATGTTCCATCTGCTCCCACTGCTCCAGGTATGGCAAGCTGATGACAATAGCACATGTCAATGGCTTCACTCTACCCTCCCTCCCCTCCCCCCCCCCTCCCCTCCCCTCCCCTCCCCTCTCCTCTCCCCCTCCGTGCTGTCTCACCAGGTATGGCAAGCTGGTGACAATAGCACATGACAACGGTTTCACAACTCGTTATGGCCACTGCTGCATCATCAATGCACGGGTTGGGCAGGTGCGTGCTGGCTTTAGAGAATGTTTGTGATGCTGTGCAGAATTGCACAGTGAGGTGATGTGGCATGGCATGCAGCAACGTGTAGTGAGCTGGGGCTGCTGCAAATGGGGCTGCTTCAAGTGGGGTTGCCTCAAGGGGGGTTTTGAGGTGGCATGTTTGCTATGAAGTTGGCCACTTGACATCTACCCTCTCACCCTTTAGTCTTCCTCCATCTGTGTGCATGTGCACGCATTGTCTATGCATGTGTGTGTGTGCATGTGTGTGAATGTTGTGTGACTGTGTGTGTGTGTGTGAATGTGTGTGTGTGTGTCATGTGTGTTTCGTGTGTGTGTGTTGTGTGTGTGTGTGTCATGTGTGTTTCGTGTGTGTGTTGTGTGTGTGTGTGTGTGTGTGTGTGTGTGTGTGTGCATGCATGGCAATTGCAGCGAGTGGCAAGGGGGCAGCAGGTGGCGTGTGTGGGGGCAACCGGGCGAGCCACCGGCCCGCACTTGCACTTTGAAGGTAACCTCATCATTGGCCTGTTTTAGTAGACTCAAGCACTCTGAAGGTAAGCACCTCCCCCTCGTGTCACTTCTCGCCATCTCACACTTCTCCGCTCCCTCCCTTCACTGTGACACCGCATCCTTCCCCCCCTCCCCCCCTGTGGCTCCGCACACTCCCCCCCCCCTCTTGTGGCACCTCACACTTACTGTCCTTGTGCCATCTCATACCTATCCGCCCCTTCCCTCCATGGCATCTCACACATATTCCCCACTATTCCCCCTGTGCCATGTTTTCCCACCCTGCAGTCCGCAAGAGAGGGGAAGCGTTGGATCCGTTCAAGTGGTGCAATCTATGACAGGATAGGTCCGGCTGAGAGGGGCTCTACAAGTGAATTCCATGGCAATCGGCAGAATCGAGCGCCCTGCTGAGTGCTGCGGCTGCTCATACTGCTGCTCCTGCCCATGCAGTCTTTTCCATAGGTGGTCTCACTTAAAGCCCCCGTTTCCATCACAGGACAGTGTCAAGTGAGCAGGCTGAAACGAGGCTGAACGAACCCAGTCTGAACCCCCATGCATCTGACTGGTGCTGCAAAAAGAGCACCTGTTGTAAAAGGGAAGAGTCCTGGGGCTTGAGACTTGAGAGTCCCATAAATGCCACGGCATGGAACAGTCTGAAGGATTCCAATTTACCATCTGCGAGACGTAGCTTGGTCACTTGCTTAGGTTTGGTAGGTCTAGTGATGCAGGCGACGGGACGCAGACGCGGAATTTGGGGCTGGGGTGGAAATCGTGGTGTGGAAAGTTGGGGTGGCTGGAGTTGTGTTTTTTCGTAGAAATTATCCATTTCCTCTCCTGTAAGGGAGCTGGTTCTGGGTCACAGAGCACTTTGTTCTGTTCGATGCAAGCTGCATTAGCATGAGAGACACTTGACTAGTATTCTAATATAAGTGTAGCTTTACTTGAAACTTATGTTGCTCTCTCATCATATCAGCATGATGTGACTTTCCTCTATGAGGTTGTTCCTGAACAACTTTAGTTGATCAAACCCCTGCTGCCATTTCTTCCATGCCAAGGATGAATGCAATGTGATTTGTGGCACAAAGAACGAGAACAGATGCATGGTCAAATCATACAGAATCATCCGAGGGACTAGTAAGCCCCCGGATAGTAGCGTAGTGCCCCTGGGGGTATAAAAAAACACTGTTTTTTAGGGGGTGCGCTTATAATCGAGGATTTTTATAAGCGCCGGCGCTTATATAATGACATTTAGGAAATGCGTATTTCTTACACCAAATTGTAGATCACGTTCTTGCAATTTGAATCGAGTCGAAACTATACAGGGCTGGAATTGAGAATCTCGCGCCAGTTGGCAAGGAATGATTCCCTGCCAACACACACAGTCAGAATGAGTCAACTTACCCTCATTCTGACTGGACGCGCAGGCACTGAGCCGAGCGAGGTGAAAGGCTTCGAAATTCAATCATGTGGGAATGGAAAATGTGAGTTTCGTTACAACGATTTCAGTACAATTATAGCAAAACAAAACAGAGGGTGGCGCTTATAATCCGTAAGCATTCAGGGGTGGGCTTATAATCGAGGACCGGATATAAGCGCCGTCATCCTTTTATAAGCGCCGGCGCTTATCCGAGGCCTGCGCTTATATCCGGGGGCTTACGGTATCAAGCATGCCCAAAACTATGTACACAGAATTGTTGCCTGCCTGCCCCTTACCTCTGTCCCCTTCCATCCCCTCCCCGCGCTTTCCTCTGTTGCCTCCTGCAACCTTGGGCACCACCCCACCGCATCCAGCAACAGGCCGACAACACCCAGCAGCAACACATGAACCATCTCCCGCAGTGAGTGAGCCAAACCGGCAGCAGACCACCCAATCCAATCCAATCCAATCCAACCTGACTACAGGCTGAGACTGAGTGACGTAATTGCACTCGTGCCACCCGGAACGGAACACGTGGATCATGTCCGGCAGTGAGTCAAACCGGCAGTGAGCCAAACCGGCAGTGAGCCAAACAGCAGCAGACCATCCAATCCCACCCGACTACAGGTTGAGACCATCGGAGCCAACCTCAGTGCTGGTCGGAACCGGTTCCTCTACCTTCTCTCCCCTCATCTCTCCCTCCTCTTGCCGCACCAGAAACCTCCCAATTGCATCCCTTAGTGTCAGCACTCCCAGCAGCTCTCCTCCTTCCACCCCCTCTTCTGGCTCCCGTGTGACGTATATTCGGTGCACGCGTGCCACCCGGAACGCGTGGATCACCTCGAGCAGTGACATACCAACAACCAGCACCACCCACCCACCCAACCAGACTACAGGCTAAGACCATCTGAGCCAACCTCAGTGCTAGCCGGAACCGGCTCCTCTACCTTCTCTCCCCTCGTCTCTCCCTCCTCCTCCTGCCTCACCAGGAATCGTCTGATTGCATCCCTCAGCGTCACCACTCCCAGCAGCTCTCCTCCTTCCTCCTCTCGTGTGACGTAAATGCGGTGCACGCGTGCCACCCGGAACGCGTGAATCACCTCGCGCAGTGGCGTGGACGGGCGGCACGTCACGGGCGGCACCATGATTGGCCAGATGACGTCAGCAGCTCCGTGATGCGGGCGCTGCGCGTCGTGCACCAGATCTGCCACTGTGAGCGGCCTGGGGAGGAGGAGGGGGCGGAAAGAGGGGGGGGTTGAGAATGTAGCGGAAATGAAGAACGAGGAAAGTGAGAGACGAAAGACCATGCTGCGCGTCGTGTACCAGATCCGGCACTGTGACTGGCCTGGGGAGGTGGTGGTTGTGGTGGTGGTTGGGAGGAGAGGGGGGTAAAAAAAGGGGGAGAGCGGAGAGGGTAGGGTAAGGGACAACGGAGAGAACATGGAGAATGAGGAAAATGAGGGGAAAGGGTGGAACATAAACGCTAGGCAGCACAGCATGCATCAGACTAACCACAGTGAGCAGCATAGGGTTGGCGTCGGAAGGGGGCAGAGGGGAGTTCAAGTGTTGGGGACTAGTAGGGAAAATACAAAATGCATAATGTGGAAGGTGCAAAATGGCCACATTGCAATGGGAAGGTGGAATCAATGGAGGTGCTATACTTGAGGTGGTGTTGCTCTGCAAGGTGCGGTGACGTAAGCAGCTGCAGAACGTCCCTCGCGCTGACATTTGCCGTGATGCGATTGGTCCCCGGCGCCACCACGGGCACTCCACCAATGTCATGCTGCAGCATCAGACGAAACGGCTCCATTACCGGATCCGATTCCTCCACCTGCCGCCATAACGCGTACAAAAAGGACAAAAATCTTTCAGACATGCATGAAGGGCAGGAGGCCCGAAAGACCGTGCTAAGGATTGTAAAATGCGATTGGTCCTCGGCTTCACCTAAGGCACTCCACCAATGCCATGCTGCAGCATCAGACGGAACGGTTATATTACCGGGTCTGACTCCTCCACCTGCGATCATAACGCGTACAGAAGAGGAAACACTCAGGAAAGCATGAACAACACCAAGGTATGAGGAGCGGTGCAGCTAACGGAAACGTGACAATTCAGTTTCAAACATCTGACTAGTGCCAGTGGTCTAGTGGTAGAATAGCACTAGATGCTTGGATTTGTCTTGTATCCATTGTACATTTACTATAGTGTCAATGAAGAGGTAGAATAGCACCCTGCCATCAGCACGGTGCAGACCCGGGTTCGATTCCCGGCTGGCACAGCGGACGATTGACCCTTTTGAACGACACAACCATCACACCAGCAGTTTATCTCGCCGTGCTTTCTCTAGCCATAGCATTTACCTTCAGCAGACCTCACCTCAAATATGATGGTCGCCTCTTTACCAAAGCATATGAGTTTCAAAACTTCCACCACCCACTGATATCCCTGGATGCACCTTCATCATTCAATCTCAACCTGATCTGAAGTAGCTGATCTCAACCGGTGAGTCATGTTTATCATAAATATGATATTGTCCTCGGTTTGGCCTAACCACACCTACATTCCAACCACTACTCCATGCACTTCTAGTCGCCTTCACCCATAAACTAAACCTGGAAACCATGCACTGAACTTGACCATCAACTCTTCCATTGTTCCCAGAAATACTCACATCACAAGGTTGGAACGTATCCCCAAGTTCATCCAGTCAAGGACCCAAATCTTATTGTAAATCCCGAAAACGTGAAATCAGTGCCAGTGGTCTAGTGGTAGAATAGCACCCTGCCATCAGCTCGGTGCAGACCCGGGTTCGATTCCCGGCTGGCACAAATGCTCTATTTTTTGTTCTTACTGTTTTGAAACAGCAATAGAGCACCAGCATTCCACCCTTTTCCCTACCACCAGTTTTGTTTCACTCACACTCCAAGAACCCCAGTCTCACCTTGACAGTCGATTCTGCACCCATTCGTGGCAGCCCCATGTCTTGCAGACGCCTCCCCGCCACCCACTCAAACTACGGTTGGCTGTCACACTCCAAGAGCCTTGACCAGCCTCACCTTGTCCAGCCTCACCTTGACAGTCGATTCTGCGCCCATTCTTGGCAGCCCCACGACTCCTCCCCGCCACCTCCTCGCCACCCACTCAAACCACGGCTGCCTCTCACACTCAAGAGCCTTGACCAGTCTCACCTTGACAGTCGATTCTGCACCCATTCTTGGCAGCCCCATGTCTTGCAGACTCCTCCCCGCCACCCATTCGAACCATGGCTGCCCGTCACACTCCGCCAGGAAATTCACCACATCTGCCTGCGACACCAGAGCTGACAGGCTCGGCACTGGGGCTAGCCCCGAGCCTGCTGACGAAGCTGCAGCTGCAGGCTCGGGAGATGCGGTGGGAGAGGCGGAGGACGGGGAGGAGGAGAAGGGAGAGGAGGAGGTGGAGGGGTAGGTGACGATGGGAAGGACTTGAGGGCGGTGGGGCATGGCAAGGAGGAGCATGAGGGAGAGGACAGAGTTGGAGGTGGAGAGGGGCAGGAATGATCGCCAGCGGAAGGAACCCTCCAGGTCTGACACCTGTGAGGGAGGCGAGGGGTTGGAGGGAACAAGGGGGTGAGGGAAGGAGCATGAGGGAGAGGACGGAGTCGGAGGAGGAGAGGGGCAGGAAGGAACGCCAGCGGAAGGAACCCACAAGGTCTGACACCTGTGGGTAAGGCAAAGGGTTGGAGGGAGCAAGGGGGTGAGGGAAGGAGCATGAGGGAGAGGACTGAGTTGGAGGAGGAGAGGGGCAGGAATGATTGCCAGCGAAAGGAACCCTCCAGATCTGACACCTGTGGGAAGGCGTCGAGAGAGGGAAAGCCGTAGGAAACAAAAACAGGGGGGAATGGGTGGTCGAGTCAGAAGGAGCGCCAGCGGAATGAACCCACAAGGTCTGACACCTGTGGGGGAGGCGAAGGGTTGGAGGGAACAAGGGGGTGAGGGAAGGAGCATGAGGGAGAGGACAGAGTCGGAGGAGGAGAGAGGCAGGAAGGAGCGCCAACGGAAAGAACCCTCCAGATCTGACACCTGTGAGATGCGTCACATGGTGAAAACAGGGGGAAAGTGGGGGGAGGGGGAGGGGAGGTTGAGTCAACTCAGAAGGGAGGCAGAGAGGAAGGTGAAAGAGTGGTTGATGACTCCCAGGTCAGAGACATGGGAGCACTCAGGGGCGGATTTTTTTTTTAGGTCAGAGACATGGTGGGGCAGAAGACGAGAGGCGGGGTGGGGGTGCTTCTGAGTTGGCACGGACACAGGAAGTAAAGGGAAACAACGAGGAAGGGGGGGGATTGACGCCGGGGCGTGGAGACCAAACGGGAAAGAGAAAGGGCTGGAAGGAAAAAGTCTTTACGCCCCACCCCACTCTCCGTGTCCCCACCCCACTCTCCGTGTCCCCACCCCACTCTCCGTGTCCCCACCCCACTCTTTGGCAGGTTGAAACACGTTGCCCTGCAACAGCCTATCCAGCCCCCCTGCTGACACCCTCAGTCGCTCCACCCTTACCCCATGCCCGCAGAGGCACAGCCCCCATGCAGCCCCCAGGTCTTACTTTAGCAGTCTGAAACAGTTTCCCCTGCAAACAGCCTATCCAGCCCCCCCACAGACACCCTCAGACGCTCCACCCCTCCCCCATGTTCCCCAGAGTTCCCACGGGGCCCCCACTTCCCACGTCCCCTACCCAAGCCTTACCTTAGCAGTTTCAAACATGTTTCCCTTCAACAGCCGATCCAGCCCCCCTGCCGACACCCTCACTTGCTCCATTCCTCCCCCGCCCCCCACAGCCCCCATGCCCTCCCCCACGTCCCCCTCCGTCCCCCTCCGTCCCCATCCCCCTGCCCCCAGGCTTACCTTGGCAGTTTGAAACATGTCCCCCTGCAGCAACCTATCAAGCCCCCCTGCTGACACCCTCAATCGCTCCACTCCTCCCCTTTGCTCCTCCATTCCCCACTTACCTTCACTTCCTTCCCCCAATCCCCACGTTTACGCTTACCTTGGCAGTTTGAAACACGTTGCCCTGCAACAGCCGATCCAACCCCCCTGCAGACACCCTCAGTCGCTCCACCCCTCCCCCCGCCTCCCCCTCCCCCGGCGCCTCTGCTGACGTGGCGCCCAGCAGCCCTCCCGCCATCGATCCCGCCCACATGGCTGCCAGCGTGGCAACATCTGGCGCGCCCAGTGCTGCTGCCCCCAGCCCTCCAAACGCCATTCCTGCCAGTCCCCCCCCTGCTGATGCCGCCATGCGGACCTCTATGGAAGATTGGTTGAGCTGGGGAAGCGGGGAGGGCGAAGGGGGGTTCAAAGGAAGGCAGTGAGTGAAGCCCCGCGCGGGTACTCATGACCCAACCTGCCTCTCACCTGCCTACGACCCCCCTGCCCCATGCCTCACCTGCCCCATGGCCCACAGCACGATCCCAGCGCCATCCACCATGCCCGGTACCACTGCTGCACTGGCGTGTCGTGTCTCTGTTCTCTCTAGTACCTACCTACCCCATGCTGACCTCCCCCTACCCCATGACCCCCTTCGCTCACCTGCCCCATGACCCACAGCACGATGCCCGCGCCATCCACCATGCCCAGGTAGCGCTGCTGCAAGGGCGCATCGTCCCCCACCGCCACGTCCCTGACGGGCGCCGCTGTGAGGCCCGCTTGCTGCAGTACGCGAAGGGCGTCCGACAGACGGGCGTTTGAGGGCACCTCGAGCTCTGGGAGATATCGAGAGGGAAGGGCAGGAAGCCAAGGGGAGGGGATTTGGAATATGTGAGGCGCATCGTCCCCCACCGCCACGTTCCTGACTGGAGCCACTGTGAGGCCCGCATGCTGCAGCATGCGCAGAGCGTCCGACAGACGGGCGTTGGAGGGCACCTCGAGCTCTGGGGGGACGGGGAGGGCGAGAGCAGGACAGAGAAGGAATATGTGTGCTCCCTCGTGCCCCACCCACCCCCACGTCCCTGAGGGGCGCTGCTGTGAGGCCCGCATGCTGCAGCAGTCGAAGGGCGTCCAACAGACGGGCGTCGGAGGGGATTTCGAGCACTGGGGGGAAGAACCAGCAGGAGCAGGGAAGGGCAAGAAAGGGCCGGGAAGGGAAGTGAGACAAGGGGAAAGATGAGTGAAGGTTAAAAGGTGCATCGTCCCCCACCACCACATCCCTGACGGGCTTTGCTGTGAGGGAGAGGGAAGGGGAGCGGATGGCAGGGAAAGAGAGGAAGACAAAGGACAGTCGGGGAGGGAGTTGAGAGGCATATGGTAGTGGATGGAAGCGTATGGGAGCATATAGGAGTGCAGAGGAGTGCAGAGGAGCGTACATGAACGTATAGGAGCATGTTGTAGCGTATCAGAGGGTAAACCATGTCAAAGAGTGCACGAGTGTATAAAAGCGTATAGGAGCATAGGAACGGATGATGAAAGTTGACGAACCTTCATGCTGGCACGGGAACACGGACACGGGCAGCTGGCTCAACGCTCTAGAGACACATCAGAAGCTGTAGGATGGAACATCGGCAAACCTTTATGCTGGCACCGGTACACGGACCCGGGCAGCTGACTGAAAGCCCAATTCAGTGCCTCCAGGTCGCGTCGGGAGCATACGGAAACTCAGCACAGTGCGAGTGGTAGGCAAATGGTAGCACGCGGTTTCTCACCTTTATGCTGGCAGGGGAACACGGACACGGGAAGCTGGCTGAACGCCCAATTCAGTGCCTCCAGCTCGCGCCTCTCCTTCTCCTTGCCGCTCTCCTCCGCCCCCTCGCTCTTCCTATTCCTCCCTTCTACCCTCCCCTCCACTCCCTCCCGCGCCTCCCGCCCGACGCGCAACTCCCACATCTCCTCGATGCGCTCCTGCAGCGCCACGGCGTGCGCGGGGCGGTACCCCAGCGGCACCAGGTGCCACTCCTTCGTGGGCGGCGGCGGCGCCGCCGCTGCCCTGCTCGCCGTTTTCTGCGCCGCAGCATCCGAGGCGACGCCCCGAGTGGTGGTAAGGCTGCTCGTCGTGCTGATGCGAGTGAAGGAAGGCTGCTGCCGCTGCTGCTGTGGCGCCGGCGCCAGCGGCGGCGGCGACAGCGGCGGCTGCGACGGCGGCGGCTGCGACGGCAGTCGCACGTTCACCTGGCCATGAAGCGAGCGAGCGCTGCCGCTGCCGCTGCATGCAGACGAGCTCTCGCAGAGCTCGTTCCAGTGAGAAGTCGCCGCCGCAGCGCGGAGCGTCTGCTGCTTGGGAACAGGCGATGCCGCCGCCGCGGCACCCGCCGCCGTACCCGCCGTCACACCCGCCGTCGCTGCTTCTGCTGGGTGCGATGACGCTGCGAAGAAACGAGCGACCTGGCGGGCTAGCGACGACGCGAACGCGTGAGAGGAGAGCTTCGGCATGGCGACGGACTGCAAAATGACAGGAATTGTTCGCAGGACCAGTACAGAAGCGCGAAACTGATACTAGTGACGAATTACAACCGAGCGGAGAGCCTCGCGGGAAGGACGGGCCTTATCAGTGAAATATTTCATGCCAGGAGAAAGCTGAACTGCAGCTTTGGAGGGGACTAAACGCATGAGCCTCAAATGACGGGGCCTTATCAAGAAAATTATGGCTGGGAGAAAGCTGTGAGACCAGGGAGCGGCGAGGTAGAGCAGAGTAATATGCGCAGGACGCAGGAAGATGCTGCACTTTGGGGAGAAGGTGCGACAGCGACCGCAGACGCGGACATAGGGCCGCCTCGCCCATTCTTGCAACATCAGAATGGTGTTGATGGTTCGTCTGGCGCCTCGACGAGGGGATGGCGTTGAGACGGCCGTGCATGGGGACTTGCAGTGGGAGGAGAGAGGTAAGGGGCATGGCGCGAAGGTGGTGGTGAGAGGAACAAGTCTGTTACGCATGCAAGCGGTTTCTGACGTGCGCTGAAGCAGAGGAAGGCGCCAGAGAGAGAGAGAGAGAGCTGTTGCCACGTTAACGCTAACGTTTACGATTATCAGAATAGCTGAAGGCTTCTCTGCAGTACAATGTGTGTACATCATCGTCGTATGCTTCGATATACCAGTTCTGCCTGTACGAGTGAAAGGTGGGCGCTGCTGGTGTGAGTCAGCGAGCTGAAGATCCCAGAGCTATAAATTGGCGCACAATAGCATGAAAGCATGCAAGCACGCATGGAGAAGTTCAAGTGGGTCGCGATCACAACCCTCCATCGAGTTTCCCAGCCGGCTTATTACAATTCCGAGAGCGCGGAAAGAGAAGCTGAAACTGACGCAATGTTGTGGTAGGGAAAGCAGATAAGCTTTTGAGTTGGTATGCTTGAGGTAGGGGGTGGGAACTTTGAGTTGCATGTGCAATTGCATTTGCAATGCATTGCGTAATTCCGTGCATTTGCGAGCCGCGTAGCGCTGCGTCGTGCTAGGGTCGCGTGAGGTGGAGGAGCTCCATACGACACGTGAAATTTTCGTCTCAGGGCTCGGCATGAATTGCTGGTGACGTGGAATCAGCCATGCGTCAACTTCCGTCATGTGGTCCCAAGGCGAAAATCTACGGGCAGAATAATGGCTAATCGTAAATATGCAATTTCCTCCCTTGGTCGCTGCCACTTCGGAATGAAGTCCCTTTCCAAGATTGCTACCAACCAAGCAGCAGAACCAAACTTTTGCCCTTGTCAGCTCCAGTTATTCTGCCCGGTAACTTTGCTTGTTCTCCTTCCCCCTCCAACATCTCGCTTTGTTTCGCTTCCCCTGCATCACATTTGCATGTGCGATTCCTCTTTGGAGGATTCTCGTAAATGCTCCCGAGGAATTGTCTTCTCACATGCTCATTTTCTCCCTCGGTGCCTTCAGTTTCAGCTTCTCTTTCCGCGCTTTCCAAACCTTCATTCCCTTCACTCGCACCAAATACTTGCGCGTGTTCGTTTGAAAGTGTTTTCCTTCGTCGACGAAGCGCCAACAAAAAGCTTGAGAATGCCAACCCTCATGCCCAATAGTGTGAGGCGGTGGAACGTGGCGACTGCTACTCTTGGCATGGCGTCTGCTGTCGCCGTGGTGACAGTCGGCACTTCCTACGCCATTCATGTTAGTACCAAATTGTATTCTCTATATTAGGTTGCGTTGCGCAATAGCAGTATTATCCTGGTGAATGCATCACCGTCTGGGATACTTGCTTTGCCGTTTTGTCACCTCACTGCCATAATCGTGTGGGGCTTGGCAGAAATACGAGGAGAAGACGCGGAAGAGGTAATTGACCTCGCCAGCTTTTGCCCTCGCCTCAGATCCTCCTTGTTACTCCGTATCTTGCTCTACAAAATAGTCTGTACCCCAAGGTTGCGCTTATTTGAGAAAATTAGCGTGCGTGTGTGTTATGCTCAGGCTCAGGCGGCTAGCTAATACTAAACATTTCCTTCATCTCCTGCCACTTGATCGTTCGTTTGAGTGCAGAAGTGGACCGAAGCTTGGAGAAAGAAGGTGAATCCAGATAACCAGCGCGTGCAGGAAACTTCGTTCATCTACGAGCTAGCTTGACCCCCTTCACCTGGCGCCATGCCTGCTTGCATGATACTACCCTCTTTCGTTTCCTGTTCCTGGGTGGTTCGAGATTGTTCCAGGAATGGGGCCATGTATCGGCACCACAGGTAAATATTGGGGATGCTGTAAATATTGCTTGTAAATACCACGGAACTTGAAGGCTTTATATTGAAGGTCATGGACTGCTGCAGGATTTGATGGTATGATGTTGCAAGAAGCAATGCCATATCCGTGTGGCACGCTGCACAACTCCATGTATGCTAGTGCTAATGCGGTCAGGAGAAAGTGCAGCATTATGTTGGGCTGAGAAAGCCCTTAAGATCGTTTCAATGACTTAGGCTCAGAGTGATATATTACCGGAAGCGTCTTTAATGAAGGCTGATTGAACCACCTTGCACTGGTGTGGGGGCAAGATGAGCCCCCCCAAGCCACCTCAAGGAGCCAGCGCTGCTTGCTGTAGCAGTGGGCTTTAACTCCTGGAGAAAATTGCTACCGTAGCATTCCTATCCTACCGCAGCAGCCACACCCTGACCCGACTTCCCCCCCCCCCCACTTGGTAAAATGAAACCCAACCCTCACATCCATCCTCAGCATTCACACCACACATTCTTCCCAGACACATCCTCTGCACTCTCCCTCTCATATCATCCCACGTCTCCCACTTTCCCTGCACCTTCCTACCCCCCACTCTCTTCCCCACTCCCCTCCTCCCTCCCCTTTTTCCTACCTGCTGAACTCCCCCCCCACCCTCTCCAACATTTCAACATCACCCTCGCCATGGACGGCTGTTCCTCCGCCTACTCGCCCACACAAACCAGCGCAATCTTAAGCACCTCCAGCAATCTCGCCCTCCCCTGCAAGTGATGGCCCTGCTACCCACTGCCCTCATCCCGTTTTGAGACGTCTCAAAAGTTGCTACCCACTGCCCTCATCCCCCACCCTTTCAAGCATCGACACTATATCCGCCATGGACGGCCGTTCCTCCGCCTCCTCGCCCACACACACGAGCGCAATCTTAAGCACCTCCAGCATCTCACCCTCACACTCCGCTATATCCGCCACACGCGGGTCCAACACGTCACCCGCTGCCCCCTCCTCCACGCACACGTTCACCCACCCAATCACGTCCCCCAGCTCATTCTCCGCAAACCACGGGTCTAAGGGCGGCCTCCCTGTCAACAGTTCAAGCAGCACGACTCCGAAGCTGAACACATCGCCCTCTGGGGTGGCTGTTGTGGGTCCGGACATGTACTCTGGGGGGAAGGGGGAGGGGGGGTACAGAGGGAGGGGAAGCCTCCAAAGCTGAACACATCGACCTCTGGGGCGGCTGTGGTGGGTCCTGACATGTACTCTGGGGGCGAGGGGGTAGGGGGAAAAGAGGGGGGAGATGGGGCAGGAAGAGGAAGGAGGCGTTGAGCATGGTGGGAAGGAAACGTCGCTCTCTGCGGGAGGGGCGATGGAGGGTAAGAGCAGTGCGCACCCGGTGAGCAGCTCGAGCAACACGACGCCGAGGCTGAACACGTCGCCCTCTGGGATGGCTGTCGTGGGGCCTGACATGTACTCTGTGAGGGGGGAGAGGGGGGTGGGGAGGTAAGGGGAAGGGTGCAGTGGCAGAGAGGGAGTGAGTGAGCATTGTTCCCTGCTGCCCCCTCTTCCACCCACGCACATGTTCACCCATCCGATCACATCCCCCAGCTCGTTCTCTGCGAATGAGGCGACTCGTGCACCACGCACTCATCAAAGGCCGCCCTATTCCAGGCAGCAGGCAGCAGGCAGCAGGCAGCAGGCAGCAGGCAGCAGGCAGCAGGCAGCAGGCAGCAGGCAGCAGGCAGCAGGCAGCAGGCAGCAGGCAGCAGGCAGCAGGCAGCAGGCAGCAGGCAGCAGGCAGCAGGCAGCAGGCAGCAGGCAGCAGGCAGCAGGCACCAGGCACCAGGCACCAGGCTCCAGGCACCAGGCTCCAGGCACTCACCAGGAGGGGTGTATCCCAGCGTCTCAGGAGCCATGTGCACATCATCGGAGTCAAACGCGATGCGTGCCCCAGCCGTGTCGGTCAGCTTCGCCTCCCTGTCGTCGCCCACCAGGATGTTTTTGAGTCGACTCAAAAGTCACCTCAAAGGTCAGCTTCGCCTCCCCGTCGTCGCCCACCAGGATGTTCCCCGGGTCGGTGCAGCGACACATATTGCAGTGACCTATTGTGGCAGGGACCCGTGCACCTTACATACACTCCTCCCCTAGACATCCTTCCCGAGGAGAAAGCACTCACTGTCAAACATATATTTACTATAGTCGGTCTAGGCTGTAGTGGGGTAGTCCTTAGAGGGTACAACACTTATGTGTTTCCTACTTGTACCCTTCTCATTTCCCAATTCAATCATTCTTTCGTCTATCATTCTCACATGGTATAGAGCTAGTTTCGATATTTTTTAAGGGCCCACCACTGAAATTTCTCCCCTGCCTACTTGCCGCGCGCTTCGCACCTTCCCTTCGAGGCCCGTCACGGCCCCTGCGCCCGCCCCGTAAGGCCCCTTAAGGCCTCGTTAGGCCCCGTAAGGCCCCTTTCGGCCCCGTTTAGGGCGCGGATTAAGGCCCCGTTATGCCCCGTAAGGCCCCGTAAGGCCCCGTTCGGCCCCGTTTAAGGCCCCGTTAGGCCCCGACAGGCCCCGTTAGAGGCCCCGTACGGCCCCGTCAGGCCCCGTTAGAGGCCCCGTACGGCCCCGTCAGGCCCCATTTGGCCCCGTTTAGGGCGCGGATTAAGGCCCCGTAAGGCCCCGTTAGCCCCGTAAGGCCCCGTAAGGCCCCGTCAGGCCCCGTTCGGCCCCGTTTAAGGCCCCGTTAGGCCCCGACAGGCCCCGTTAGAGGCCCCGTATGGCCCCGTCAGGCCCCGTTAGAGGCCCAGTACGGCCCCGTCAGGCCCCATTTGGCCCCGTTTAAGGCCCCGTAAGGCCCGTCAGGCCCCGTTATAGGCCCCGCAAGGCCCCGTTCTCGGCCCCGTACGGCCCCGTTATAGGCCCCGTCAGGCCCCGTTATAGGCCCCGTACGGCCCCGTACGGCCCCGTTATAGGCCCCGTCAGGCCCCGTTATAGGCCTCGCACGGCCCCGTTATAGGCCCCGTACGGCCCCGTTATAGGCCCCGTCAGGCCCCGTTATAGGCCTCGTCAGGCCCCGTTATAGGTCCCGTTCGGCCCTGCTCCTGAACTGCCCCGGCCCTGCTTCTGCACTGCCCCGGCCCTGCTCCTGAACTGCCCCGGCTCTGCCCCGGCCCTGCCCCGGCCCTGCCCCGGCCCTGCCCCTGAACTGCCCCGGCCCTGGCCCGGCTCTGCCCTGGCCCTGCCCCGGCCCTGCTCCTGAACTGCCCCGGCCCTGCCCCGGCCCTGCTCCTGAACTGCCCCGGCCCTGCCCCGGCCCTGCTTCTGCACTGCCCCGGCCCTGCTCCTGAACTGCCCCGGCTCTGCCCCGGCCCTGCCCCGGCCCTGCCCAGGCCCTGCCCCTGAACTGCCCCGGCCCTGGCCCGGCTCTGCCCTGGCCCTGCCCCGGCCCTGCTCCTGAACTGCCCCGGCTCTGCCCCGGCCCTGCCCCGGCCCTGCCCCGGCCCTGCCCCTGAACTGCCCCGGCCCTGGCCCGGCTCTGCCCTGGCCCTGCCCCGGCCCTGCTCCTGAACTGCCCCGGCCCTGCCCCGGCCCTGCTCCTGAACTGCCCCGGCCCTGCCCCGGCCCTGCTCCTGGACTGCCCCGGCCCTACCCCGGCCCTGCCCCAGCCTCTCCCCTGGTAAGAGCGCCGCGGTGCCGAGCCACACCGCCCTGCCGAGCTGCGCCGCCCTACCTAGCCTGCTTAGACGAGTTCCACTGCTGCTACTGCTAGCCTGCTGCTTCTCCTGTCATGGCTAGTCTCAATGTTCTTACCTTTGATGCTGAGGGTCGGGCTGTTGACTTTGAGGTTTGGCTAGATGATCTGCAGCTTTTCCTACAGTGCGATAGCAAGGATGGTCTCTCACTGTTCGATCTCACTTCTGGCGCCTCTACTGCCCCTACTGCTGATGCTGACAGTACTGTTCGCTCGCAGAGGCTCACGCGCGATGCTGCTGCTCGTCTTGCTGTGCGCAACCACCTGCCGTCTACTGAGCGCGCGCACTTTAGTCAGTACAAGAGTGCTAGGGCTCTGTACGACGCTGTAGTTGCACGCTACTCCTCCCCTGCCACTGCTGCCCTCAGCCGCCTCATGCTACCGTACCTTTTCCCTGACCTTGCTGCCTTTGCCACTGTCACTGACCTAGTTGCTCACCTTCGCACTAGTGACGCCCGCTACCGCGCTGCCCTTCCCACTGAGTTCTGTGCCAAGAACCCCCCCCCCCATGTACATCACCTATACTACCTAGTCACCCGCCTCCCTGACTCTCTTTCTTCAGTCAGGGACCACTTTCTCTCCCTTTGCCCCACCGAGCTGACTGTCGACTTGCTAGAGGAGCGCCTTGCTGCAGCTGAGAAGAGTATCTTAGCTGTTGGTGCTTCTCGCGGTGACCGTCGCACCCCCTTCTTTGAGGGGTGTTCCCCTGTCCCCCTTCTCCCCTCTGTTGCCTCTGCTGCTGCTGTCGACCTCGTTGGCACTGAGGAGGTCGGCGCTGCGTCTGCCCCTAGTGGGCGACGCCGCACTGGCAAGGGCAAGGGAAGCAGGGGTGGTGGTGGGGGCGGTGGGGGCAACGGTGGAAGAGGTGGAGGAGGTGGAGGTGGTGGTGGGGGTGGTTCCGGGAGTGGGGGCGTAGGTGGCGGCAGTGGCGGCCGTGGCGGCGGTGGTGGAGGAGGTGGCGGCGGCGGCGGCGGTGGTGGAGGTAGCGGAGAAGGTGGTGCTGGTCGCGGTGCGGCCACGCAGCGTGGAGGCCTTGGTGGCAGCCAGCGTCCGCAGCAGCTGCGCACCCGTGAGACCCCGTCTGTTCAGCAGCTTCGTGAGTGGTACGCTGGACGTGGGAGGTCTGGGGGTGCAGGTCCCTGCGCTTACGTTCTTCGCACCGGCACTCGTAGTGGGGAGGTGTGTGGTCTCCCACACACCACGCAGCGCTGCTTTGGCCGCTTGACTGACGCTTGGCGTACCCAGTTTCCTGACGCTGTTGATCTTCCTCGTTGGCATGATCTGCTTCAGCAGAATGTGCCTATCTTTGATCTAGATTTTGATGCTATCCTTGCTGCCATGTATGCTCTTGCTGATATTACTGAGGGTGACTGTTACCTGCGTGTCCCGCCCGACCCGGGCACTGTCGCTGCTGCTCTAGGTGCTAGTGCGGCTGCTGCTCTAGGTGCTAGTGCGTCTGTTGCTCCAGGTGCTGGTACGTCTCCTCCCTCTGGTACTGCACCTACTGAGTCCTTTCACACCTTCACACTTGACTCTGGTGCTTCGCGCTCTTTCTTTAGAGACAGCACCACGCTCACGCCGCTCCGTCGGCCTGTTGCGGTCTCCCTTGCTGACCCCTCCGGGGGACCAGTCCTTGCACACTCTTCCACGGTTCTACCGTGTCCTGCGGCCCCGTCGGGCTTGCTGTCGGGACTCCACCTCCCCTCGTTCTCTACGAACTTGGTGAGTGGAGCTGACCTCCAGGACGCGTGGGTTGACCAGTTCACCCCTGGAGGTCAGCGTGTGACCCACTGCACTTGCTCTCGGACGGGCCGCCACCTGGCCACGTTCACCCGTCGGCCAGGGTCGAGTCTGTACACACTGACTACTGCGCCTCCTCCGGTCCCTGCGTCTGGTCAGGTAGCTGCGTCCAGTCAGGCGTTTGCTGCTGCGTCCAGGTCTAGTCCTGCGTCTGCCCTCTGCTCGTGTCGTCCTCTGGCGCACGAGACTCTCCTCTGGCACCACCGCCTTGGTCACCCCTCCCTGCCTCGTCTTCGAGGTATGGCCTCCCGTGCTATTGTCTTTGGACTCCCCAGGTCCCTCCCTCCCCTTCCTCCGGGGCCTGCCCCCACCTGTGTTCCTTGTGTCGAGGGCCGGCAGCGCGCCGCTCCTCACTCCTCCTCGTTTCCTCCGACTGAGGCCCCTCTGCAGACTCTTCACATGGACGTGTGGGGCCCAGCCCGCGTTCGTGGACAGGGTCACGAGCGTTACTTCCTGCTGGTCGTTGACGACTACTCGCGTTACACCACAGTCTTCCTCTTGCGCAGCAAGGGTGAGGTCACTGAGGTGTTGATCGACTGGATCCGCGGTGCTCGTCGCCAGCTTAGTGAGAGTTTCGGCTCCGACCTTCCTGTTTTGCGTCTGCACTCAGACAGAGGCGGGGAGTTTTCCTCCGACCTTCTGAGAGCCTTCTGTCGTTTGGAGGGCATCCGCCAGACGTTCACGCTTCCGGCCTCCCCGCAGCAAAATGGGATTGCTGAGCGCCGCATTGGCATGGTCATGGATGTCGCTCGTACGTCCATGATCCATGCGGCTGCTCCCCACTTTCTGTGGCCGTTCGCGGTTCAGTACGCTGCGCATCAGATCAACCTTCAGCCTCGTGTCTCCTTGCCGGAGACCACACCTACTCTGCGGTGGACGGGGAAAGTTGGCGATGCGTCCGCGTTCCGTGTCTGGGGATCTCGAGCTTTTGTCCGCGATACTACAGCGGACAAGCTGCCCTCCCGTGCCGTTCCCTGTGTCTTCCTTGGCTTCCCTCCTGACGCACCCGGGTGGAAGTTCTACCACCCCACCTCGCGTCGTGTTCTGTCCTCTCAGGACGTCACGTTTGACGAGTCGGTGTCGTACTACCGTCTCTTTCCCTACCGCACTGCGTCTCCCCCTCCCCCGCCGCTCTTCCTTGCCCCAGGTACTCCTCCGGTAGACCCCCTCCCCCCCCAGGGTCCTGCCCCCTCAGATGTGTCCCATGTAGACCCTGCCGAGCCGGTCGAGGTAGCTGTCGACTCAGGTGCTGCTAGGGGTGCTGACCCTGCGGGTGCGGGGACTGGGGGTGCTGAGACTGGGGGTGCTGAGTCTGGGGGTGCTGAGACTGGGCGTGCTGAGCCTGGGGGTGTGGCGCCTGAGGGTACTGTGTCTGGAGGTGCTGAGCCTGCGCGTGTTGAGTCTGGAGGTGCTCTGGGTGTCCCGTCGCGGCGGGAGCCCCTCTCTCCACAGCGGCTTCATGAGTAGTACTCTCGGCGCTGTTGGGTTGCTGCTGGTGCGGGTGCTGCTGGAGGTGCTGGCGCTGCTGGTGGTGGTGC